TTTGTTTTTTTTTCAATTTTCAGTTTCTAGTTGTTTTTAATTGGTAGTGACATATTTTTTTGTTCTTTTTATTTCCAATTGCATTTGACATTATTACTTTGTTTTGGGATTTTAAAATGCCCAGTCGCAGGACAATGAGGAGACGTCTAAATGTTTTTTATGAAGCTAAGAATGATAGTTAAAATCAACATCTACAAATACACAGGGGGTATCTGCTACTGCAGATTTATGGAGTGCACACAAAAGAGCCAACATGGATGTCATGATCCACTTTGTTTATTCAAAGACTTTTGGAATGGTTTCGTCAGCCTTAGTGTGTCGAAGATTTAAAGGAGAGCGCACTGGTACAAAAATTGAAAAACTAATCAACGTTGCTTCACAAGTTTTCAGTGTGCGATACTGTCAGATGAAACTCTGGATAAGCTGTTTCTTAAGTCTAGGATTAATGAACAAACTTGCTTTTCTTAAATTTTTTTTACATGAGGCGCTATAGGGTACTGCTTAAAGTTAAGCTAACAATATAAGACTAAGAAAAAATTTTCAAGTTATATTAATATTACTGAACTTTCTGTAAAAACAAATTCGACATGTTTTGTTTTTTAATTTATAAATTTTATTCTAGCAAATGTATGTGTTTGATTTTTTAAAAAGTTTTTTAAACTAGGTTGAGCTACTGGCTTCCGTGAACTTTACTATTAGAAAGGCTTTTATTTTTGTTTTCCTTTATATTTAAATTTATTTCTTTGAGTTGTATTGAAGTAATAAATGTAAATAATATGGCTTATTGTATTAAAGTGTTAATGCTGATTCAGAATTCTACTTTTCAAAAAAAAAATGTAAAAATAGTTGCAAAATAGCTTGGAAAAGTTTAACTATTTTTCTTAGTTTAGCTAACTATTTTCAAAAATAAGTTTACAACTAATAGTTACACTACTTATTTTTAGTTGCAAAATAGTTATAGTTTAACTACAAATATTTAGTTAGTTGCCCATAGCTGATTACTTCTTCATCACTTAAAAAAATCAGAGCAGATCTCAAGACTAATCTATTTAAAAAATTCACTGAAGAGTGTTGTTGAACGTTGTAGAAATAGTGCACTACAAAATAATTGATTGATTGAATTATAGATTGATTAACGGGCCAAGTATTCAAATGTAATCACTAGAGGCAATTCATGGCCTAAGTATAAATAAGTTAGAGAAAAGATGTTCAACATCAGCAACCAACAGATAAATTAGGTCAATAGGTTCTGATAGATTTTATTATCAAATTAGGTTGCTTACTGTATTGTATTAGATGTTGTTGTTGCCAATAATTGGTTGATTTTTATGTAAGATTGTTGAATTAGATTGGTCTTGTCGGTTAGTTGGGTTATTTGGATTGTGCTGGTGAAGTGCAGTGACAGACCTAGACAACTTTGACTGAGCTAGAGAGGGACAAAATTTAAAAAATGATTAAATGTTGATGAAGAGGGCCAAAATTTTAACAGGGGGCCAACATTTGTGGTAACGTGGCTGACAATTTTTTTTCTTATCTTGTCCATTTTCTGTTAAAATTATGAGTTTTACTGACTTTTATCACAAATATTGCTTACAAAAGCCCATTGGCCTCCCCTAGATCCGCCACTGGTGATGTATGTAGTGTACATCCAGATAGAGATAGAATAGATACCCTTTGCTTCAATTGTGTTCAATTAATATTAATTAAATTTGTTTCTTTTCATTTTATTTTATGTTTTTTACCAATACGTTTTTTGTCTTGTAAAAATTAACTATGGAAAAATATTGATTGGAATATACATAGCATTTTAAAAGTTAATAAGTATTATAATTATAAATTTATATTATATAGTATTTAATATTTATTATGGCATGCACAATTTTAAACTAAAATTGGTTAACATATGACATGTTCATGATTTTACTTAAACAGATTTTTTAAAAGTAATTAGTTAAAGACTTTTAAATTTAAATTTGATTAAATTAAAATTTTAATTTTTAAAATTAAATTAAATTAGTGATTAAAATTAGATTAGATTTAAATTAATTAATTTGATTAGCATTAGATAATACACAATAGGAATAGCATTAGCGTTTAGTGACCAAATCCAATGAAAAAACGATGAATAACAAATATTGAGAAAAACATCATTATCACTGCAGGAAACATCATCCTCACCTTTACATTCTAACGAGGATATTTCAAAATCAAAATCATCCATCTTTGTCGGTTTGACTTGGAGGATAAAATATTTTTCGACCAGACGATTTTTTATGAATTTTATTTACATATTTGTGTTGCGTTTAATATTTTTTATTTTAGATTTATTTACCAAGACGCTTGCTATTGTTTTGTAAAATAGTTTAAATTGGCATTTAATTTTTAAACCTAACTTTACTAAAAATTAAAAGTTTGTAAAAGCATTTTGCTTAGTTAGTATAATTAATCGTGACCAAAAATGTAGAGCGTTGCTATCTGGTCTAACGTTTCATTTTGTATAAAGAACTTCGGCGTTGTTAATGGATCTGTTTATGTTGCAAAAAGATGGAGTTGTTTCTTAATTCTTATGTGATGTAATTTCTGATTGAGCCGATCAAACGTTTAATTGTGGCGCCAAAAAATGAAACTGTTCATTTTGTTTGTTCTCGTAACTTTTATGAATCCAGGTAGAAGTAGTAAAAAAATTTTTTGTATGTTTTTTTGCCTGCATGTTTTAAATTAAATTTTAAAAATAAACTTTTTTTTCTTTATTTTGCAGATTGTCAAAATCGAAAAACTAAAATAATTAACATTAAATTAAATACGTTAATTTTTGTAAAATTATTTATGACAAAAACACATTGTTTATACTTTTTTATAAGAATATAAATTATAAATATAAATAATTTAATAATATGCAAGTTAATAGTAGCCAAACTGTTTCTGATTTCACCTATTCTACATAATACATCTCTAACTCTATTGACTAAGATGTGTTTTTGTTAATTATCTAAAAAACCCATTGAAAACTAAGCAATATTATCTGCTGAGATTAATAATAATATACTATTTGTTTTTTTAACTTGGGCCACATGCTACTGATATGTCATAAGTCTCATCACCAAGGAACGAAACATATCTAGCATAGACATAGAACGAGTTAGGTGTTCATGTTTGTGTATAAGAATATAGCAGTTTTAATTAGCTGCTAGTGAAGGTACTCAGTGTTGCGACTACTTACATAAACCAATTTGTGTTTTAATTTTAAAGTAGTGTTATTAAAATGGCAAGGCTTCAGACCCATGCTGAGCTGATCCAAGCCGAACTGAGTCGCAGGGCTAATGGATGACTAATAATGATAAAAAATGTTATCTATTTCTCTTGATTTTATTTAATTTGTGCTAATGAAAACAAAATAATTGGATAGATATTTGTATATAATTATTGTTTATTTAAAGCAATATTTATCATTCATAACTTTGTGACAGCTAAGTTCAGTAGACAACATATATTTCGACTGTAATGTTAGTATCAATGATTAACAAAGAAACAAACAACAACACACGTTTAGACGACATTTTCCCCGAGATCGGGGGTTGCCGTTTGGCTACCTATGATGAAACCGAAGTACCCCTCGACGCCATTCCATCATAAGTACATTATTTGGCTAATTTTTACGCAGGATGCCCTTCCTTACGCAACCACAGTTATAAGCGGTGGGCCTAGCCTTTGATGATCCAACATCACTCACAAGGCAGTGAGGGTCAGTTTAATGTCATAACCAGGACATAATGATTAACAAACAAAGTTGATTGAAATTGTGTATTTGATGATTTATTATTTGAATAAGCTGGATGTATTATAGAGACATTTGTGATAAAAGTAGATGGTCCAAGGATCTAGCCATGCCCTTTATTAGAATTTGTTGAGAGTGAGCTAGAGATGATGAGAGTTGGAAGTTTAAGAATAGTGTGAATTTTAATCACTTTAACATTATTTTAACAATTTTTCTATGTGTCAAAGACGAATGAAAATTATCTAACTTCGATTTTGGCCCCTCAAAAAATTCTGACTTGGGCAAAAATCTCCCACTTCGACTTACTCCTACACTGATTTTTTCATTCATAATCTTCCCATCAATCAATCAATCATCGTTTAGCATCCAGAGACCCATTTTTATGATGCATTATTAAATGTTAAATTATTAAATTAAATTATTAAATTAGACTATTTATTATTATTATCACCGTTATTGTAATAATAATATCAATAATAATTATATTGGTATTAGTATTATTATTATTTTACAATGATATTATTGTTGGTGTCGTTAATATTGTTTTTGTGTTTGTTAGTTATATTTGTGTTGACAGTTTGCAATGTTATTTCTAACAAACTTAGCAAAATTGTTAACGGTTTCATCATCAACATTATTCATCACTGATTTGATGCCAGTGAATTTATTAATAAAATAATCCATCATTGCCCTGTTAGGCATCAACAATTTCATAGCAGTAAATAGTAATATTGTGGTCAGTGCAAGTGTAACTCAGATATAATTTCATTGCTGTTGGGACTGTGATTGTAATCATTATTGTTAACTTTTTAATGACTATTTATCACCTTCTAAATAACTTATTGACCATTAAGTTATACATTCTTTCATGTTCTAATTGATGAAATGAAAGAGTTGTACTTGTTTTATGTTTCACTATGTGTCTATAAATGAAGCAAGTTCATGGGTAAATTTTATTTTTGAGAGGTTGAAAATATTGATCAATTTCTCTATTAGATTACATATATGTATACCCAACAGGCATGCATATTTTTAAAAAACTAAAGCTTTATTCATATAATGCACATTAATTTTTAATGTGTGTTAAAAATGTTACTTTATTTAGTTATATCGTGTCATAGCCCTCGTCCTGACACATTGTGTGTAGCCACGCTAATATTTTAAAAGCGAACTTAAATAATTGATAATCTAGATTTTTAAGCTGTTCAATGAAAAAACCTGAAAAATGAATATGGTTTTACATTATAAATTAGCTAGTTCATGTGGTAAAAATCTATTGCACAATGTATTTCATTTGCTCATTAAAATGTTGCTTTATTGACATAACTATCTATTTGCATATTACAAATTAAATTCATTGCTATATTCATTTAGTTGCCTGTCGACTTGAAATCAAACCAAAAACAAAGAGTTTAGTGAAACCGCTGAATAACTCTTTGCTGTTCACCTGTGAGAAGGTAAGTGATGATGGTGGTTATGAGGATGATGAAGATGGCGTTGATGATTTCAATGGAGGCAGAATCAAATTGAAATGGTTTAACAAGTATGGTGAAGAAATTGTTGGCTCATCTGGAAGGTAGGCTGTTTTGAATGTTTTTTAAATTTATTGGATTTATGGGTGGATTGTTTTTGATTTATCTTCCACAGAATCTACGTGGAAAGTGGTTATAACTCTATAAAGTTGTTCATAACAACAATCAAAGAGGAGGATGATGGTGATTATACATGTAAAAATATTGCCAGTGCAGTCAGTGATGATAATGTTGAAATGGCTTCTATTAGTTTGTCAGTTTACAGTCAGTAATTATGAGTTTGTTGCAGTTTTACATGCGTTTAATGTGTGTGCGTGTGTGTGCGTGTGTGTGCGCGTGTGTGAATATGTGTGAGAATAAGTGTGTGAATATGTGTGTGAATAAGTGTGTGAATAAGTGTGTGAATAAGTGTGTTAAAGAGTTTGACTATGTGTGACATTTTAAAAAAGAACTACATATATTAAAAATATTTGCTTTATATCACTAATTTATTAATTTAAATGATTTTCAGCATGATTTCTTTCTTTTTAATTTTTTTATACTAGAGTTTGAACTTTGTAAGAATTAAAAAATAAGTGAATGAAATGAATCAATCTTTGTTTGTAATATTTATTTCGTTAATTTTTTTTTACAGAGGACATAACATTTGAGGATGCACCAGAGAAACAATATATAGAAATTCATAGCAGTTCAACCATTAAATGTGTCGTTAGTGGCCTGCCAGTCCCATTTGTGTCTTGGAGGTTCAATGGCAGAAAAATTAGTCCTGGTAATTTTAACTCAATTTAATTTAATTTTCCCCTTTTTTTGATTTCTTTGTGAACGATGTTTCCAAAATGATTTTGTGTGGCACTCAACACTTTATTGTAGTACATCTATTTTCACAAAAATTTTGTTCGATAAATATTTTTCAGATCAAATATAAAAATATTGATATTATGATAATTATTATCATTTTTTTTATTCTCATTATTATTATTATTAAAGAACATTCTAGATAATTTTTTTTTATGTGACACTACAGCCAAAAAAAAATTTGAAATACTGAAAAGTGGACTTAAAGTGAAAAATTGTAGTCTGCAAAGATAAGGAACTTATTATTGTAGGGGGGAAGTCCATCTCAATGGTGCTTTACAGTGAGAGAGAATCAAAGTCCGGCGTGGAAGGTAGATGAATTAATTTGTTTATTTTTATTGCGATTAAATAATAAATAGTATTGAATATGGTACAGGCAATTGAATTCAGATTATTATAAATGCATATGTGTAATTACAATGAACAGTGCAGTGATTTTAATTTTTTAATAATCCAATAATTTATTTAAAAGTACCTCCCTCTATGACGAAACATATGTTGGATGTTCAGGAAGTTGCTGAAGCTGGTAATGTGACACTTTCATGTTCGGCTCATGCCATGCCTTCTCCAACTTACCAGTTTTTTAAAGTAAATTTTTTTGATGATAAATCCAATTTATCCTGGAAACATCTGCAAAAAATATTCAGAAACTTCTGCAAATGATTATTGAGAAAGTATTCTTAGATGCTTGAGCTTTGAAATGGTTTGAATGGGACCCATAAATGATGGCCAAGGTTGTTATGCTGCTGGGTGTTTTATTACAAAACAATTTCATCTCTTTCAGACTGCAAAGACAAAGAACAATGAGATGGCTCAACAGGGTGCTAGGATCCATTCTTTACCGAAGAAGATTACCATTGACCCTGTCAAAGGCATCATGGTTATAATGAATGTTAGCAAGCTGACCGGTGATGATGATTATATTTATCAATGTTTGGCTGTTAACAAACTTGGAAACGATTCCAGCTTTGGACAAATCAAAATTTTAAGTTAGTTTCTCTAGATTTCTTAAACTTTTTAATTTGAACTTAATTTGTTTAAATTCATTCTTGTTGTATCCCCATTAATAACTTGCAGGGATGTCGTTTTTGGTCTTATAATTTTTCAGCTACCACTCTAAACTAAATGTTCAAATTATTTTCACTTTCAAATTTCAGCACCACCAGTAATCAGCCTACAACCAATAGTTGTGACAACTAAAAATTCCAAGGTCACCATTGAATGTGCTTCTACTGGAGACCCACTACCAGATTTATCATTCATGAGAAATGGCGAAAAACTGATGTCCGACTTTCTGCCGGTTTGTATATTTTACTGTTTATGTTCATTTATAATTTATGTTGGTTTTGAAATTTGTTTTAAAATTTGCGTAATCATTGCTTTGGTGCTCTTTTAGTTAATGTGATTATATTTAATTTTTGATTAGTTTTTTAGTTGACCATGCTCCTCATTCATTAAATGCTTTGTGAAAATGATTTGGCCAGAATAACTAATCAAAAATCAAATATAATTAAATTGAAAAAGAAGCAAGGCAATTTTCCACATTGTTCCCAATTCTGCTCATGATACCTTTTATACCAACCTTCATGATTGTTTGGTTCATTGTTCACCCACCGATATTTCTTCAAAGAACATATCGTTCATCTACTAACATTTTTTAAAGACATATTGTTCACCTATTAACATTTTTTTAAAGAGCCTATTGTTCACCTACCAACATATTTTCAAAAAAAATTGTAAACTCACCTAGAATTCTTCAAGAAACATTGTTCACCTGCCTACATTTCTTCAAAGATCATATTGTTCACCAGGCAATATTGTTCACCTTTCAACATTTGTTCAACAACATTTTGTCCACCTACTGACATTTCTTCAAAAAGCATAGTTCACTAAACAACATTCCTTTAAGAACATGTTGTTCATCTACCAAGATTTCTTCAATGAACTTATTGTATGTTTCCAACTATTGAAATTTTACCTCTCATATGTACATGTACAAGATTGTTTCATGTAAGCTGTAATAATTTTGTTCTGTGGCTTTGTGGCGTTTACTCCTCATGTTATTAAATATTGCAATTAAGGAGATTATTTATGTTCCCCTGCCAGGTATGTATTTCAAGTAAATAAATTTGTGGACGAAGTTGATTTTATGGAGGTTGTTTGTGATGTAGATGTGCTCCATGACATAGAAAGAAATATTTTTTAAAGATTTGTTAGATAAACGCCTTTCGTCACATATTTGCATAATTCAGTAGATTTGATTTAATCTCGTGTTGTTTGTGTATATTAAATTTGGCAGGAATAAACAAGATATGCTACATTTATTTTCTATTTTATTCAATGTATAAAGTCAGTAAGCTAATAAAATTTTAATTAAATCGACAAAAATCTTCATTTCAATCAAGTAACAAATTGTGTTGGTTGGAAGATTATAATGTGCACGTTTAATGCTGTGCTCATGTGATGAGTAGGTCGGCCACAAATTGTTCCATGCAGTTATTTTTCATTTATCAGTTTCCTCGTGTTAATTGTTTTGTTTGTATTGCATATATCACATGATTGATGCATGTGTGTCATGCCTGTATGAGATACATGTATTTTATATATTTGAGTATGTGACATAAGTAAAATTTTTAATGCATAATTTAAGATAAAAGTCTTTCATTTTTATCATCAGTAGCAATCATTTGGATTTAATAATTTTTTTTATCAACCCTATAAACACTGGTGTACCACTGCCAACATTCACCTGTTTTCCACGCTGGCTGTTGTGTCATTCAATCATCCATCGTTTAAAAAATTGTTTAACATGCATTTATAAACTATGTTTTTTCTCCAACTTAAATGTAAATTATGCGTTTCAGATATTTTTTAGCGATATATTTGCGTATTGATGTCTTCATTAAATTAATCTTTGAATTTTAAAAACCAAAATGATCATTATTCATTTTTGGGTGTGCAGAACAAGGGTAGACACGTGTTAAATGAAGTCAACCAGACGTATTTGTTGTTGGAGATAAGTGATGTAGAAGTTGAAGATGCTGGTACCTACACATGTGCCTCCAATAATTCAGTTGGATACGATGAAAAAGGGATTGACCTTGTTGTTCAGTGTTAATATGCAGTTTCAGTTTGTTATTTTTGTGGATTTCACATAACTAATTCAATCAAAATTTATACTTCTTAATTTCATTTATGCTCTATTAATAATACATCACGGAATATATTTAATGTACGGACACAAAGGTTAAATAAAATTTCAGATGCGCCAGTGTTTGTTGGTTACAAATCATCACTGAAGAGAATGCATGCCTGGCCTGGGGTCTCCATCAACATGAGCTGTCGTGTGCGGGCGGTGCCTCGGCCTGTCGTGCAGTGGTTTGTAATGAGGAATACACCCGGAGATGGTGGTGAGGATGGCTATCAAGTCGTTCATGATGGTGGCAAGGTTTACAAAGTGTTTGAAAGCGAGGAAGGCCCGCTCCTGCAGGTCACTTTTGAATTAAATTAGTTGATAATTTAGCAGATGAAATATTGCTTGAATATTAATCTATTTGTTTCTTGTTATCTCACATTTGTTTTTAAGAATGTTATTCAGCAGCGTTAGTTTTGATTGCCTACTGATTATAAAAACATTTGAAATAATTGTTACATCCATTAATATAAATTATATTACAAACTTAATTATTTATATGAATTATAAATCTTAAAGTTGCTACTAACAACCATTATGTTTTACTACCTGATTTTTATTTTCCGCCTGAAGTTCATAGTTGCATAGTTGTTGTAAGTTTTTTTTGTAGGAAGGAGATCAATATATAAACTAAATCTTGAGCTTCATCATCTTCTTTCAAACACATTCAGACCTAGGCATCAAACTGTTCCATTAAGATGTAATGTAGAAGAAATTTACAATAAGTTGTTCTATATTGTATTTTTCCTAACAGATAACAGTGGAAAAAAAAGATGATGAAATTAGTTCAGACAATCACACTGACGTGAGAGACAAGAATATTGATGATGATGAACGCAACATTTTCACTGGATACATGTGCAAGGCTGTGAATGATGTAGGAGCTAATCACATGGAGTTTGTACTGGATAGAGCTTGTTAATATTTTTTTTAGTTTATTTTTAACATTTCATTAATTGATTTTTAAATATTATTACATTTTGTTTTTATTTTTTGAGGTGAAATTATTATTGGAGATATAAATTAAATTTTTATTTATGAAAAATAATATCATAATGCATGTGGTGAGAGATGGTGTACTTTACGTACGCGTACTAGCCAACCGTACCTGCATGAGCCTGCCGGCTGTTTTCACCCATATTTTGGCTCATTTTTTGACATTTATATTGTGTATATATATATATGTATATATATATATATATGTGTATATATATATATGTGTATATATTGTCGGAAATTTTAAAATAATAAATAATAAATTAATGAGGAGGAGGATTTTTAAAAGGGTGACAAGGCCCCACGTTGGGCGCCAATTGTCGGAAATTTTAAATAATAATAAATTAAAATGATAAGAGGAAGCAATCTCCTCCTCTATCTTTCTCAGGGAATTTTTGTATGGTCCGACAATAATTTTTGTGTATATTTTTATCGTGAGTTCGACCAGTCCTGTGTGGCACTGGGCTTTTTCGAATTATATGATTTTACTGAGTAACACAGGAACGCGTAAAGAAAAATATTCGATAACAATTTTATTAATCGACGGAAGTAAATAAAAGGAATTGAACTAATGAACTCTATAATAATGTAAATGTCAATGAACAAACTGGAATACAGGAATTAGAACTCTTCTTGTTGGGTCTTCAACTTGGAATATGTTTCTTGGCGTTTTAATCGTACAACTTCGACGTGTGTATCCGATGGTGATGTCGATACAACTCCAAGAAATAAAAAAAATGAATCACAAAAATCGGAGCCTATGGAAATTGCAAGCTGCGTGTGAAACTATACCAATGAGTATAGAATCCAGCAAAGAACCCTAGGTCGACAAATAGCACAGGAAACAAAAGAAGGAGGCGGATTGGTTTTCACAGAACCCAAGGCCTGTTTTCACTGGGCCTGTCTGTGAGTCGGTCGGCTTTCGCACAACCCTGGCCTGTTTTCACTGGGCCGTCAAGTCTGATCGGCTTTCGCACGACCAAGGGCCTGTTTTCACTGGGCCTGTCAGTCAGTCGGTCGACTTTCGCACAACCCTGGCCTGTTTTCACTGGGCCGTCAAGTCTGATCGGCTTTCGCACGACCAAGGGCCTGTTTTCACTGGGCCTGTCAGTCAGTCGGTCGACTTTCGCACAACCCCGGCCTGTTTTCACTGGGCCGTCGAGTCTGATCGGCTTTCGCACGACCAACACAAGACAACAAGAGTCAGAACAACACTGGAAACAAATTGTGTGTCTTCAGTACGCGTGCGAAACTATGCCAATGAGCATAGTCTCGTACTAAATCCACTTTTGAGAACTTAAGGCGTTTCTGAAACTATGCCAATGAGCATAGAATCACGCGTTAAGTCTCTTAGGGACCAGAATAGGCACTGATTATTCGAAGCTGCCTCACTAGTCAACCCAGTTCTCTAACTGGTGAACCCAGTTTCTCTCTCAAGTCTTTTCACACCCTTCCTTATCAAAACAAAATTAGATTTTTTAAAACATAAAAATCTACAAGGCATGACCAATTAATCAGAAAAAGTACTAATTAAATTTTAAAATAATTTATAATAATTTATGACGTCATCTAAATTGCAAAACAAAAAAAATCGTCGTCACCTATCGAGTAAATTAACTTGCACCATGCCCCCTATCGAGTGAATAAATTTCGCGTTGAAAATTTTGCAGTATTTTTAGTCAGTATTATTTCATAATTCTGACAATATATATATATATATATATATATATATATATGTGTGTGTGTGTGTGTGTGTGTGTATTTGATGTTGATGATATCATCAGATGCACCAGCCGTTCCCAAGGTGGGCATCAACAAGACACGAGCCGATCAGATCATCATTGCAGTTGATGCCGTGGAGAATGGTGATGAAGGAAATGAAGAAGATGATGGTGTGTCAAAAGTTCTTCGTTACTTCGTGCAGTACCACGTTGATGGTGGAAAGTCCACACCTGGCAAGTTTACTTTACTTATTTACAAAATCTCTTTCATAAATTTTTGTTGTTCAAATTAAACTTTAATTTTGTTTAAATTAAGTTGATTTATTTTTGTAAAATTATCTCCGCATTACAAATAAATATATCAGATAAACAAGGTTCATGTGTATAATATATAATTATTATTCTATTGTATCAAATTTCTTTATAAACAACATCAAAGCCAGAACCTAAATTTCAGTTTAGACTTACCTTGTCGGCAATTTGTTGTTGTACATAGAACAAATTATGATCTCTTAATAAGCTGTCAGGGCCGGATTAAGCTATCTTGGTGCCCTAGGCCCAAACCCAAATTGGTGCCCCTTTCTCCCAAAACTCCCGATCTCCAACTGACAGTCGGCATGTTTAATATTAAGCAAGAAAACTAACAGAAGAAATAAAACAATTGTTTATACACGTATTTATTCTACCGTCAATCATATTAAAAATCAATAATGTGATCGATTAATAAAATTAATATTCTTTTATTTAGTAATAATATTACACATTGAGACTGTTATACATAAAAAAAACATAAAAAAACAACAAAACACATTTACATTTTGAAGTTCTTCTTTCTAGATTTAAGTTTGGCAAAGTTTTTGACAGCATCATCAAAGTTTATTTGTGCAACAAGTCTGCCTCAATCATCAGCAGAGGTAAAGAATCCAGCCTCTCTTGTTTCATAGTTGATCTGCATGGATTTTTTATACATTTTAACTGAGAAAAAGAGCGCTCAGTTGAACAGTTTGTAATCATTAATGTTAAAAATTTGCGCAAGGCAATTTCTACATTTGGAAAAGCATTAAACTTTCACAACCTTTTGATGTTTGTGGTACATCGACCAAACAAGAAAAATCTACCTACTATATCAAAATATACCTTTCCTTGTCTACTCATCTCTGTCTCAAGTTAGTCAACAATGATGTAGAAAGCAGATATACGAAATTTGTCTCTGACATTCAGAGATATCTCAGGGCATTACCATCAACAATCAATGTCTTTCGTTTACAATTGCGAGTCATAATTGACTTATCTTCCAACACCAACTAGTAACTAACTACCGCAATAAATGTCTGCAAAAAATTGCGCTGCTGACGACACTTTTTTGAACGTATCAAATCTAACTAAGTTTAGAGGTCCTAATTTTAAATCAAAGTTTTATTATAACAAAATTATCCATAAACGTTTAAACAAGTTTATAGCAAATATAAACCTTTGTAGATTTATGTTTGTTGTTTTCTTTGAATTTTTTTAATTAGTTTATTAATTATTTATTTTTGTTGTATGCTTTGTAGTTGGTTAATTAATTAATTTATTGGTTTATTTTTGTTGTGTGCTTTTTTTCAAATTTTTATTAACTAGTCGTTTTCATTACTCAGATCCAATGTCGAGAGTCTTCAACGCTGACGAGCGCAAAAAAGGTGAATGCCTGCAATGAAAACGATGAAAACATTTGAAATGATCACAGTCCATGTGTAACATCTGTTCATTGATTAGATCCCTCAATTGGCTTTTTATGTTTCAAGTCATTTAATTTATGCGTCACAACATCATTGATGCTGCTGGTGTCATCATTAATACTGTCTGATGTTAATGTGATGACTTGAATAACATGACTGATGAAATAAATGGCAATGATTCAAGGACTGCAGCCGCAGTTATTGTCATTTTAATTGTGTTACTAGCAAGCGCTTATTGTTGTTACTGGGACTTACCATCCACATTATCATTTTTTTATCATCAATGTCATCATCATAAACATTCTCCTCACTATCAGTAGCTCAGTTGGTTGTTGACCAACTTCTTCCAAACACGACCTACATGGTGCACGTCAGTTCATTGAATGTTGTTGGGAAAGGTCATCCAGCCATTCTCAAGATCACCACTGTTCCTCCTGGTTAGTTTGTTATCAGTCGTTCAGCCTGTTAGTTAAATAAATTTATATTGCAGGGCTTTCGTGATTCAGTTGCAGATAATATCGCCAAGTAGTGACTTAGATGTTGAAGTTGAATTTTATGTCAGCAATGTGTTCAAGTGCACAACACACACCCACGCGCATTCCATTAAAATTAATTGTCATGCACAAAATGTACAACGAACAGTTGTGTACATATGTAAATGTAGTTGGTTGTACAGCATCCACACTGTACTTGGTTATGACATTAAACTGACCCTCACTGCCTTGTGAGTGATGTTGGATCATCAAAGGCTAGGCTCACCGCTTATAACTGTGGTTGCGTAAGGAAGGGCGTCCTGCGTAAAAATTAGCCAAATAAATTACTTATGATGACAGAAGTGACAATGGCCCTCATCGAGGGGTATTTCGGTTTCATCATAGGTAGCCAAACGGCAACCCCCGATCTCGGGGAAAATGTCGTCTAAACGTGTGTTGTTTTTGTACAGCATCCACACATTGTTCCGTTTTGCAGGCCCTCCTGAGCCAGTCACGTTGACTTCCAGCAACGTCGTACCAGGAGTGAACTATTTGTTGTTGTCGTGGCAGCCGCCATACTTCGGTGGAGCACCTATAAAAGAATACATCGTTTCACATAGAAAAGTCAGAACCCCGTCATCACTCATGTCATCATCATTCACGTCATCATCACTCATGTCATCATCGTCTTCATCGTCATCATCATTATCATTCTATAGCTTGCTATTCGATGACAAACAAAACCATAATCGAAAATGATTTTTCTTCTCTCTTCTACCTCCAGTCAAACGCCAACATTTGTTTTTGTGCTGCTGTAGCTTCCACACGTTTTGGCAAGCTCCAAGTATCATCAACACACAATTGTTTTTAAAATCTTCTCAAACTTACACCAATTTGCTTGCAGAATTTTTTTGATTGGTACTTTTTCAATTTTATACTTATCAGGTTCATTAAAAAAGGTTACAATCAACTTTATGCTAAACTCAAACTCAGACAATTCATTGTATTCAAACACTGCAATATCCATACACATCTTAACGCCATTCCGTATTCAAATAAATTAGATTGCATTTTTGCTACAAATTCATCAGCGTCTTCCATTTATCAGCATACTTCGTTTTCAACGTTTACGATAATGCTTCTCTAATAGTCATGGAATTTTAAACCTGAACTGCCCGTCGTATCTCTCCCATCATACACTCTACTAGGGGCAAGAGAAGCAATGACGTCACGCATTCATTACAGTTAATTCTGGGGAACGTTCAGATCAAACACTTTATTTCCCATTCCATATGTAATTCAATGTCAATAGTTGACATGCATGCTGTTCGTTCTGTTATAAATTAAAAGTTCTTCATGTGAAACTTCTGCAAACTTTTTTGATGTTTATAAACCGTCCTTTTTACTTTATGATGTTAAACGTAGCCTTTGCTCTGACACATTGTAAGATCTATAGATGATTTCATTTAAATAAATATTCATTATTGGTTCATTGTTCAGGTTGAATTGTTATCTGATGGAGTTTACAACCCCCTGAATGATTGGTCTCATGGTGCTTCAACTGCTGATGAACGAGCAGATCACGTCATCATCAACGACAACGATGTTCTAGGCAATGCCGATAGCAAATTAAATGATGTCCAAATTTCAAGCCAACTTCAAACGCAGAACTCAAGCTTCTTGAAATTTAACATCAACAGGTTGGAACCAGGTTCGTACCAGGTGCGTATTGTGGCGACGAACGTACATGGACAGTCGAGACCAAATGAAGATTTCTATATCTCTACTCTTTCTGGTTTGTTTATTTCAATGCTTTAACATTGATCTTTCCTATTTACCATAACAGTGAACTGGTACTGGAATACAAATACATAAAAATACCCTTAGCATAGACACAAACATTAACGCTCGTTTCTCAGGGTCTGATGATGATTTGAATTACCTCCCAAATCTCGTTCGCGGTCATTATAGCATCTCTCAAATTGTCATGATCGGCTTCGTCGTTTTCACGGTCATCATCATCTTCGTCACCATCATCGATGTTTCCTGCTACCTCATAAATGGATGCGGTTTGACAATGATTTTGTGTATTCGTATATGCAACCGGCAGCCAACCACGCTATCCAGTAGTGAAAGTAACAAGTTGAAGGCAGTCGACAGTGCAAAGAAGAGCAGTAGCGACGTGTTTGGTGTCTTAAAAGGAGTGAAGAATGGTACAGGAGACCACAATGGTTGCAGGTTTGTTGTTGTTGTTGTTGAGTCGTGTGGTTCTATAATCTGTGTTATCAAATAAGTAAAATTGAAAGTTGCTGAAGTTTATGTGTTTTGAAAAAATTAGTCAAATTTGTTTCTTAAAATTGTTTGTTTAAAAACGTCTCACCGATGATGT